AGGGTCTCACGAACTTTAGTGAGTTTGTATGACAGAGAGGTTAATAATATCAGATGTAACAGATGTCTAATAACATAAGGCCTACAAGAATTCAGTGGATTTGACAGTAGGATGTCAGCCGTGAGCTCAGGTAAATCACAGTAACGTGATAGGGACAGAAGCCAGATTAAAATGTATTTCAGAAGTAAATGGGAGGTGTCATATAAAGTGGGTCAGTTCTCTTGATGTGGCCCAAGAGTCAAGCAGTGACATATCACAAGTACTGAATTTTTAAAACTTCCTTTAATGAAAATACATGGCTAGTTCAAGTTAAATAATTATCAATTTTTAAAAAATTGAAGGCATAAAGAAAAATTTAAGAATACAAAGTATAATTCTGTTTGTTTAGGTTTAAATTTAATTTGTTTTTCCATCAGCTTTCTCTAATTGAATTTTTTTTTTTTTTACTTTTTTTTAGGCGAGGCAACCCTTGGTTGATCTCACAGATTGCAAGGACCTTGTCAGCTTACAGTCCTTTATTTTTTATTTTTTACGCCTACAGCACCTGGCTTTCCTATGTGGTCTCCCATCCAAGTACTAACCAGGCCTGACCTTGCTTAGCTTCTGAGATCAGATGGGATCCGGCTTATTCAGGGTGGCATGGCCGTAGACTCTGATTGAATTTTAATTCTCTTCTAGTTTACTAGTGAGAATTTAAAATATAACTTTTCATAATCCGTGTACTTTTGCTATTATTTTCATTCTAACCCTGTGGTTTACTCTTAATCTGTTTCTTTATAAGCCTCTTAAATTTCAGCTTTAGTATAAAATTGTTATGGTGATTAACACTTTTGGCCTCCTCTTTCTTCCTTTCTATTACGTTTTAATCAATTTTTATTTTTCATTCCAAGAGCCAATAAACATGTTTAAAATATTACCACATCCATACTGTCTACCTGATAGATTTTGCCAATTCTTTAAAAATTTGCAGGACACTATTAGGATTCTTGACTATGTGGTAATGTTTGTAGATTTCTAGGAATTTTACTTGTTTAATTCTCAGAAGGCAAAATGAGTTGCAAATATTTACAGAGTAATTTATTCTCACCCTGCTGTGTAGCAAGTTTTAGCTTGGTGTTAATATGGTGGTGAGTATGGCATTTCACTCATGACAGGGCTGTTTTTGGACTTCACAATCTCTTTAAGGACTTCTAGGCCTGAGATTCATGTTATGTAGATTTTCGGAGAAATAACACATTTCAATAAATAATGTTTGTCTCGGTCTCTTATAAATGGCCCAAACTTTGTTTTAGTACTTAGTTGTACATTACTGCTGTTCTAGCATATCTTAATAGTTATCTAGAATGTATTAATGCATTATATTTATGTGTTCTGATATTAAATTATAAACTTGAATAACAATAACATTTCCCCATTTCCCATGGTGGGAATGCCATTAATGGATTTTATTCTTTTTTTTTTTGCTTCAAGCGTGTCTTACTTAAACAGCTCAGACTAGGTTGAGAAAAGTACTCCTCTTTCTTCTCTTCTACTTCTCCTCTACTCCATCCTCCCCACTTTCCCTCCCACCCTTCCCTCTCCTTTTTCCTATTTGTCACCTGTGGTCAATATTTATTCAATAAAATATTTAAATTAATTTAACATTTTTACACAAGAAAAGTTTTGAACTAATCTTTGGAGGCTTACATGTTCATTGGTTGCAACCTTTAAGTGAGAACTGTATCTAGATGAATATTATAACTACATTCTAAAGTGTTACATGTTTTTGTTTTTAACATATTTTTCTAATTTCAAAAATAATTTGTTTATTATTTATGTTTTGAAAAAGCACAAAGAAGAAAATAAAAAGCATCTGTAATGTTACATAATATTTTTACATGTATGTTTCTAATTCTTTTTTAGGAGTATATTGAGATTTTTCTTTTTTAACTCAATATTGAATCATTTCCCCATGGTTGTACTATAATTTGTTTATGCAGTCTGCTGCTTTTTGGATGGTATGCTTGTTTACAATTTTGCTTTTCCATAAATAATGCTCTAATTGACATCCTTGTACACAACTCTCCCGTTTTCTTAGTGGAAATTTGTAGTCATGCAGTTGTTTCCAGACAAGCAAACACTTTAAACACCGCTCCTCCAATTTTGAACTGATCGAATTATTCATTTTGCAGAGGTGGTAGTGTTCCAAGAAAGCGGGGAAGGATGAGTATTTATTATGTGTTAAATAATGTGTTGGGCACTTTCCATGTATTATCTTTTTGATCCATATGGCAACCCAGTGACATAGGTAATTTTGATTTCCTTAGAGAAATTAAATGGCTCGCCCACTTCAAAAAGCTAATAATGCAGAATCAGGACAATAACCCAGGTCTCAGACTTTCATGCTAACATTCTTTCATTCCCTCAAGAGGTTCTCTTTGTGGAGGTAAGCTGCAAGATGAAGAGCACCCTCCTGGTGCTTCTCCTGCTTTCTCATCTTCTGCTGTTTGGAGTATATGTATTTCCCTCTGCTAAATTCAGGCAGAAAAAAGGTTGAGAACTACCACTTTTTAACTTACATAAAAATGTTTTGTTAAAAAAGTATTTCCTCACTAAGTTAATATTTATGAGTTTTTATTGTAATGGTAAATAAAACTGACAAATCACTCTTTTTGTAGACTAAATAGCATAGTGTTTTAATACCTATCATCATCCATTTCTAAAAATACGTGAACATGCTTTTTTTTAACATTAATAAAATTATATCTATTTAAGTTTATATTTCTGTTACACTTTACTCCACCAGATTGTATCCTTAAGTAATGTATTTTTATGCAGGAATTATATTTTGCATATAATATACTCTCTAAGTAGTATATTTTGTTTATTAAAGTCTTTCATGCATATCGATCACCTTATCATGTCTCTTCAACAAATATATATATTAAATTGAATTAAAAAATTTCTCTTAGTCATTAAATTATAATTAGCAGTAGTTAATAAAGCAACATAAATGTATTAAAATGTTGTTAAATAATTATGAAACAGAAGAAAATAGTTACTGGAAATACATCTTTTGATGACATGAGTGAAGCTAGTCTTTTTTTTTTTAGTCCAACCTTTTATAGATAAATAATACTCATTGTTACAATAAGACAATGTTCAGCATAATTTTATTTCCCTTTTTTGTTTTGGAGGTGTAAGTGCTGAGAAAAAGTTCACATAATTGGATGGTAATGGACAGATTTTTGTTTGAGCTGTGCCACTCAATTATTCGAATTCCTCTATCAAATGATCTGTCATCAAAAATTATTTTTATCTATTAGCTGATAATTTGATTAGGTCCTTCATTTTGTTGGAAGCAAAGAATTAGAAACCACCCGACTTGCCAGTTATTAGAGTCATTAGAGACATTCTGGGAAGTATACCAAAAAAGGCTTTATTAGGGCTTCTTAAATAACTAGTAATTATATCTATTAGCATTTTACTTATAGTTATATGTTTACCTTAGCATTTCAGGAAGTGCTAGAAAAAGTTAAATATTGTTAATTTTAATACGCCTTTTTCAAAAGTATCTTTTTTGATAAAATGTGTTTATCAAGTGTCTTAAATATGTGTTAGTTAAAGCCATTTATTCAGTTTAAGGCCCTCTGCCTTGGACTCTTATTGGCAAAACTGATCTTTATTGTCAAACCAATCAGATTTATTTTCATGACAGAAAGTGTAGCCTCATTTTTCAATTCAAATAAATGGTTAGATTCGTGTTTCTGTGACAACCATCTTCTGATATTTAACCTGTGGTAAATGAAATTCAAAGAGCCTTGTTTTAAGTTTGTTTCCTAGAAGAAGTAAGTTGACAGTATCTTTCTTGTTTCTTATTGGAAGCTCTCTTAGCTTTGCTTCACAATACTCTTCCTGAAAAGTAATACATTCTTTGATGATGATCATGGGATGAAAGAGATAAAAGTTTTTAAATGAAAATTATCAACTTCTGTCCCATTCCATAATGTATCTGCAAATAGAACATCCTGTCACACTTCCCATTTATAATTTCTGGCTTCCTTCTTTATAGAAAAAAAAGTATAAAACAATAATGTGCTCCTGTAGTCAGTTTGTGGTATTAAAGATGGCTTCACAGACAAAATATGAATCCTTGACTAGTACTTCAGTGGTTTTTACACTCTAGGCAGTACAATACAGTTCCATTCAGGGTGGGTGGTAGGTAAGCTGTTCTTTTTATAAAATGAGTAGACACTTGTGAAAGGGGAAGCAAGAAAGGAGAAATCTACGTGGTCTCTTTAGTTGGACCTCTGATCCATTGTCAGCTAGGTTGGTTTTAGGAAAGTGCTGAATACAGGTGGAAATTAAAGATCGCAGAATTGCTGTCTTTTTTTTCTCTTTTTTAAAAAATCTGTTTTAGCAGTGTATTCCTTAGAAAGTCTGTTTACCTTCAGCAGTAATTTGAAAGATCCCTGTTCTAATATTTATAGCAACCTCTAATTTATAGACAGGGAAGCTAAGACTTAGGTGAAATAATTTTCTGGGGTCTAAATTAAGCTAGTAAATAGTTCAGTTAAGAACTTAAAAATTTATTTTTTCTCCTATGTCACACTAACTAGTACGTAGTCTGGTACACAGTAGGTGTTTACTATGTGTTTAATGAATCGGTGAGTGATTTTTTATGAACTCTTAAATACTTACCATTGTAGTAGTTTTCTGAATTTTGATCTGCTGGATGAGAGGAGCATGTACAGATGATTCACTACAGAAGATTTAAGATATCTTGTGTTATCAAAGCATGGTCAGATTGATCTCCCTCCACTTCTTGGGGTGGTGTGTAGGGAGGTGACTAATGGAACAGCAATGAACTTGGGCATTTTTTATGTTTTATCAATTAAAACAGAGACCTGTAACAGTATGGTAGTGTATTTTGATAATCGTCAATTGTTGATACTACAGTCAGATGTCCATGAGGCAAATGTATTTGTATATGACCTGTATATTTTTGTTTTGTGTTGTAGATATGCTCTTAAAGCAAATGACCAAATCTTGGCTGAAGACAAACACAAGGAACTGTAAGTGTATAAAATCCGAGATTGTACGTAGTTTATTCTGTTTATGGAGTAGATGTACATAAACAATCTGATTTTCAAAATTATATGAAATATAAAGATATAATTAGCACTATGACCTTAATTCTAGCAGGATTATGATATTTATGTTACATAAGGATAACAGAGGAAATAAATGTTCCTGTATGCACATTAAAATATGTAGTATTATATTACAATATCTAGACTAAGGGTATATTGGAAAATATGTCATTTCATTTTCCCCTAGATAAAATATTAAATTGTCGTTTTTAATTTTTGGCTCTTACTTAGTTGACTTCCCTACCCTCATGCTTAAGGTGGAGAAATATAATTTTGTTTCTTTTGTTGCTTTATGAGAAAGTAAGTGCCTAGTTATTGTTTAGCCATAAGGTAAAACACTTTAAATAAAAAGGTTGAAATGGGAATAAAATTTTGTTCCTTTTTAAAGTTTTAATATTTTGGGGGTTCTATCTTCTGGATAAAAATAATTGTATATATGGTTCTGGGATAGCTCCATTGCTATTTTTCTGCCCTATACTAGTATTTAAAAAATTACTGCCTCATAGGAGCTGTGAAATTTTTAGTTAAAAATTACTGTGTTGAGAGTTCATTAAATTCATTTTAACCTTTTCAGTATCATGAGATTGTCCAAAGAGGGAAGCTAAGAAATTTTTATATGTTTTTATTTTCTAGCTAGTGCACATTTTCCCCCCATTGTGGTGTAAGAAAGTTCTGATATCCTTAATTATTATGCAAACACCTCATGTCAGATAATACTGTAGAAAAGAATTTGAAGAATTTAAGGCTAACTATACCTTTAGGTTGGACCACACTTGATAATACCATAGTCCCACCTTATGCATGGGGGATACATTATAAGACCCCTAAACCCTTATATGTTGTGTTTTTTTTTCTGTACATACTTACCTATGGTAATGTTTAATTTGTAAATTAGACACAAGAAATTAACAACAATAACTAATAATAAAATAGAACAATTATGATAATATACTCTTAATAAAAGTTACATGAACATGGTCTCTGTCTCTGTCTCCTTCTCTCAATATCTTATGGTACTATACTCGCCCTTTTCTTCTTGTGATGATGTGAGATGATGCAGTGCCTACATGGTGAGTTGAAGTGAGGTGAATGACGTAGGAATTGTGACATAGCATAGGCAGGCACTGTGACATAACATTAGGCTACTGTAAGGGTTACTTGAACACAAGCACCTTGATACTGTGACAGTTGATTTGGTAATCAAGAGGGCTCTAAGTGAGTAACAGGTGGGCTACTATACAGCATTAGTATAACATGGATCTGTTGGACAAAGGGATGGTTCACGTCTTGCGTGGGATGGAGCTGGACAGTGCAACACTTTGTACTACTACCCAGAATGATGTGCAGTTTAAAACTTAGGAATTGTTTATTTTTGGAATTTTCTATTTCTATAACCAGAAAAAGGAACTTAATGAAATAAATTCTAAATTCACTAAATTTAAAGTATTAATATACTTCTCTATTACAAGATGAATGTTTTCAACTCTATAATCATAACTGGTGGACTAAATGAGAAAACATAATGACTGTCTAAAGGATAAAGAACTTTTTTTTTTTTTTAGTATAACATGAAGTCTTCCTTCTTAATAACTAGTGTTTACATAGCAAGTTTCTTACACTCTCTGGTATTGCCACTGATCGATTTGGCATTAGTTGATTTTTCTTTTGGCTGCTGGCTCTCTGCGTAGTAGTTTTTGACCTATACACTAAAGAAAACTAAGTTGAATATGCCCCCATAAGAATAGAATAGAATATTAAAAAATTCAACCCTAACCCTTCATGAAAGCTGCTCATAAATAATCTCATTTGTGTCTTTACCATTAAAATAGCCAAGATCTCTTTGTGTTCCATACCAAGCTTTTTAAAATATGAGATGTAGCTATAAAATAATTTAATTATCCAATTAATAATTCCATGCGTTGTTCTCATAAAACATTATTGCTTCTTAATTTTAATTTATTAAAACAGTCTTGATTCATCATAATATTGTAAAAATGTATTGTCACCATCACATTTTTGAGAATGTACCTTAATTCTATGTGTACCAATAAGATTACAATGATAACTCTAATTATCTTGATAATACTTTATGTGGTACATACTAACTATATTCATTAAAAATATTCTTAGTTCCTAGCATGTGATGATTCAGATTCTGTATACACTTAAGTCACTCTTGCTTCACAAATGTATTTATTATTTCTCTATCTGGGGAAGACTGACATGCAGCAAGAAAGATTGGTCAGCAATGACAGTGACACTTGTTTCTCTAAGTAGAATGGTTTATCTCAGGTTCCTATTTTCTAATATTCTACATGCTGAAGATTCTGGTGGATGATTTTAGGTAGGGGAAGCCAAGCAATTAGATTTTTGATGGGATTAATCCAAAACCAGAGTTTGTGCTTTACTCTATACACAGTCCAGTAATGAACTGATTTCATTAGTATTCTGTAGATTTTTCTCAGTTTATCAGAGTTTTAGTTTTTTAAATGGAGTAATTTAAAATAAATTAGGAAAACATCACTATTTTATTCAGTAAATATTTTTTTCACTCATTTATCAGTCACCATACTAGGCACTATTTAAAGAAAAGATACTGACTTCATTTATAAATGGAGACTTAATCTCCAATTTAATATCACTTCACATTTAAAAAGTTTCATGATTGGAGATTTTGTAATTATGGGTTTTCTTTTAGACTATCTGCAATTATAGAGGATAGAACCATTTTGTTTCCATAAATATCTGTTCACTTTATAAATACCTAAATTGTATGTTACCTTGAATAGGATATTGAAATCAAATCATAGAGATTCAGATAAGGAAAGTTAAAAGTTTACTGGAGTTATTCCAAAGGCAATATAAATAAATTCAGAAGTATCCATGCCACTTAACACAGAAGTAACTTGATACATAAGGATCTTTCACAGTTCGCTGTGCTGTGTAAGGAGTCGGGGAAGCCTCTGTAAAAGAGATTCACGTTTATTTACTTGGCTTTTCAAGATAGCTACCAAGATAAAGGTGAATTTTTATAAGCAGTGTATGTCGTTCTAGATATGAATTATATTTTCCCTTCTGATGTTGAATGAATTCTCTTTAATGACTCTTTTATGTCAAAAATTAGTTTGTCAGAATTACCCTCTTAAATTTAAAAGTTTTGCCTTGTAATTATATTTAAGTTTTTGTTAATTTAGGATCTTGACGAAATGGGAGAAAATAAATGAATTAATTATACAAGGGGTATGAAGCAAGAGTATTAGAAAGGACACTGTTAGACCTTGATCTTTGGTTCAGTGTAAAAAAATTATAATTTCTTAGAGGATAGTCCTCAATTTCTAAACTAGCAGGGGAGATTTATAAGTATTTAAGTGATTGTTTAAAAATATGTTAAGAACAGTAAGAGATAATCAGTAACAACTGATTATTATTAATGTTCTTACTAAGCAGTTCTTTGTAAACATCAACATTGCTTTGTAAGAATAATATAAGAACTCATTGCCTTTAAAGCTAATAGATTTTGTTTATGGGAAAATGTATTTACCTAATACGAAAGAGAAAAAAAACCCAGTAAGCAAAAAATGAAAAATTGAAATAAAGGGCATCTAGGAGAAGTTTATATGGTTAATATTTTGCAATATTCATAAAAAGGTACAACATTGAAATATGAACATTTCTGTGTTCTCTTTCTCAAGGGCTACTTTCTTTCATATCTTTTAAATTATAGAACTTTGATTCTAGAAATGAATGTTAGAACTAATATCTGTATTTTATAATGACTTGAGTGAGATTCACAGTGATAAAGTGACTCAACTACAGGTTACACTGCTATTTAACAAACCACACTGGACCAAAATCCAAGTCTGTTGATTTCCATTGAAGTCCTTTTCTGTTATATCACACATCTCCCTAAGGATGCAGTGATTTTTTTAAAATAAAAGTGATTAATATCATTGCAAGACTCAGTAATTGATTATAATGAACTCGATAGCTATATCAAGACTAAATGGCTGATTAATTTCATAATATTGTATTATGGTTTTAGCAGCCACCTCAGATCTATAGTTTCTAATGAGTGAATTGAGGAGAATTATCAAATACTATGTTTGCCTGACTTCCAAATGCAAGACACTTCCCATTCTTCCAAGGAGAGGGTATAAATACAAAGATTTTTGGCCACCTTGATTCTAAAAGCTTTTAGAGATGTTTATGAAATAAGTTATATGTATACTTATAATTTAGTTTAGTTAGGTAATACTTTTTATAACCATATATTATGTGGAATAATTTCTAAATACTTTTTTTTTACCCTCATTTCCTTGAACATTCATAATCTTTATCATTGCCATCTTTGTCACCATTAGAACCCTTTTCTCTAGAACACAACAATCTGTGATCTAAGTAGTTTGGCTCCATGTACGATACTTTTATCGGACATTTCCTCCAAAGCCAGGGGTCCCCAATCCCCCGGCCAATGACCAGTACTGGTCTGTGGCCTGTTAGAAACTAGGCCACACAGCAAGAGGTGAGCAGTGGGCCAGTGAGCGAAGCTTCATCTGTATTTGCAGCTGCTCCTCAGCGCTAGAATCACTGCCTCAGCTCTAAGTCAGATCATCAGGCATTAGATTCTCAAGAGAGAGCGAACATTATTGTGAGCTGCACATGTTGGGGATCTAGGTTGCCCTCTACTTATGAGAATCTAATGCCTGATGATCTGAGATGGAGCTGACGCAGTGAGGCTAGCTCTGGGGAGTGGCTGCAAATACAGATTAACATTAGCAGAGAGGTTTGACTGTACAGAGACCATAATAAATCAGTCACTTGCAGACTCATATCAAAACCCTATCCATGAGTGGCAAAAGACAATTAAGCTGCATCTGGTGGTTGGCTTAATAGTGGCAAATGAATTGATGTATTTCAGTTGT